GCAGAATCAGAACGTTACTTAGAGCTGCACTCTCTTTATTTTAAGTATCCCTCTGTTAATTTCATTTGAATAACTCCCTCATTTAAATCTGAGAGAAGACTTCAAATTTCATCATCTCCCTATGACTGTGTGCTGTTTATCACTTGTTTCCTTCTCTGATGGCCTTCTCGTTATCCATTTTTGTGGGTCTGGTGTTGCAGCACCTGAACATGGAAAAGGTTTTTAGATTCAAAAATCTCAATCTGCATGATAAAAATATTTTGTCATGAGCAATTTAATTCAGTGTTGGCAGTTCTCATTATTCTGATTACTTTTTTCTCTTCGTTCTCAGCTCTAAGGATCACCGTATTTCTTATGAAAATCTGAAGTTTTCATATGCAAAAAACAAATTTCTGTTTCTCACGTTTCCATAGAAAAGCTCAGAAGCATAAATTTTCGATACCCACTTCCAAGTAAATGAGTCAAATAAAAAAGAAGCCCCCAAACCATACTTTAAAAGAAAAAAAAAAAAATCCAACCCTACCAGGAATGCCAAACAAAACAACCAGAACTAAAAACTCCTTTCTCAAGAAGTGACTTACAATTTTTGAACTCTTGAAATTATTGCTCTTAGTACAAATGAGCTTGATTTCAATTTTAACTCCTCCTTTTCGTGGTCTGTGTTGATTTGTTTTTATTTCAGATTACTCTCCTGAAGTCAAAGGTAAAATGTGGTCCTACAGAATATTTTCCCCTGAAAAGAGATTTTGTTTACCTTTACTCTGTGCAGAATTCCTGTCTGGGCAGATGGCTTTCACAGGTGTCTGCACCATTTAGATTTCTAATTAAGTAAAGCCTTACACAAGGATGAATTTCACACCATAAGAATTTGTGTGAAATGCAATTAATATTCTGCAGCTTGTGTTTCTGTGTTAGGTGATCTCCTCGAGGTAGGGCTAATGAAGATATGAGGGTGTACACAGCAAAAGGTGAGAAAATTCATTTGCAGAGCAAACATGTGGCCAAACTGAAACTGTGCAAGTTGAAAAGACCATAAAGAATCTGAAATTCTTCCAAAGGACCTTTCTGAGATGACTTTCAGTCACCAGAAGAGGAGGTAGAAGGACCCTGTTATTTTGAGGTGTTGTGATACCCAAAGGTGCTTTATCATCAGGGAATTTATTCATTTCCTCTGCAGTACAGTATTAAATTGCTCTCCTTTTTTGCTTTCCAACCATATTCTATGTGAGCAGCTTTCAGTGCAAATGTTGAGGTCAGTAAAGGTCACCAGCATGTGCATGCTGGTTTATTAACTAAAAAAAAAAGGTGTTTCTTAGGCTTGATGTCTCACCAGGAGTACAGTTCTAGTGCAGTGGCCAAACTAGCACAGGAGTTATCCAAACTATGACATTTCCTTACACCAACTGGCAGTAAATTCTGAAAGAAAAATTGTCATAATATTAAAGCTGAGTCTTTGATCTGTGCATTTCTGAAGAGCTGGAGGTTATGAAAGCTTTGATTTTACTTGTTGATGAACAGAGGATCTGTAGGTCTGAGTAGCCATGGCTCTGTTTTGCTTTTCAGACTTCTACCCGTTTAGATTTTCATGAGCAAATTGTTTGCTGCATATAATTTTTGTTCAAGAATTTGGCTTTTTTCTTGGTAGCAGGCGAAGGACCCTTTGGTACTAATTGCCCAGCACTTGACTAGTTGTGTGAGCAATATTTGTATATTCAGAGTTCTACATATGACATTTAAATATTATTTACAGTGTATTTAGCTGAAATAATAATTTAGGCACCTATCAGTCCATAAAACCTTTTATTATAGCCAAAAATATGAAATCTACATGCTGTTTAAATTAAGAATATATTCTGCTTTGAACAAGCCCCTTTGCCTTAAACATATATATGCCTGACTTAATTTTTCAAGATATTTTTAAAGACTGCTGTCCCCAATGTGAAGGACCTTCACATAAATTATTTTAATGAGGTAGACATTTAGTTCAACAGAAGTTTCTTCATGAGAAAAAAAAAATAAAATAATAGTTTTCCTTTTAAAATACAATTAATTAAAAACTGTCCATGTGATGACACATTTAACATTTTGTCTGACATTAGAGAAGAAGAAAGTGCCTGGAATTGCACAAGGGGAATAAAATGTTCCATTTCACAGCAAGGCCAAGCTTGAGTCTTGTAATTATTTCAAAGGGAGTAAAGGTCATTTTCTATTTGCTGCATCTCTATTATGTGAGCCTTCTGTACCAGGCTTACAGAAGTTAACTCATGACCCATTTAGATTGCCCAGATTTCAAAGTCAACTTAGTCTGTCACAAATCTGATAAAGTTGACATATTCCCATCTCTAAGTACTGCTATAGATGATGTCTAAAGAGGCTTTTTATTTATAGCCCTGTAAGACAAGAGTTCCAGCTTTAAGGCTTGAGTAGCTGGGAGATCAGAACATGATTTGCCTCTTGCTGTGCTAATCCTTTAGGAGAAGAACTGTTTGTAGATAAATTTCAGGATATATGGCTTGGACTGGTTTTCTGGTGGGGACTCATTATATAACTTTATTTGCATCTTGAGATGGCAAGTGGTTTTCTCCTGCTGTGATTGCATTTTTATGCATATTCATCCAGGAACACTGAGTCTCAAAGACAGGTACTTTAAACCTGCACCTGGGCACACAGAAAATGTGTGCAGAAGATGCATGTGTGCCTTTCTTCCTGTGCATATGCCCATTGAAATGTACATAAGGCAGGTTTTTTAACAATCAGTAATCAAGCTTTATGCACAATTTTCAGGGCAGGCTCTGAATACCTCAGCTCCTATTTCCAGATATCTCCTGCTGGAAGACTGAAGGGGACACATCCAATTCTCAACCCCAAAATCTCCAATAAAATCCATATATTAATGTCATTAAGAGAATAAGAGATTGGGGGCTGTGGTTTTAAACCTTTTAAAGAAAGGCAGAAGTAGTGTGATGATACTGAAATTAATAGCAGTATGGCACTTTTCTTGGTATATTACTTTAAATCTTTCTCTTCTTTCTTGGTTAATCCTTCCAAGGGACCAACGTGGAACAGGACAGGATGGAAGGCAAAGGTGTCCATCTGTTGTGTTTGCCTTCTACCAGATTAATTAACTTGAAATATTCTGGCTGTGCCTTGCAGTCTGCTGGCACTTCTGGCCAAGCTTTTATAGCAATGGTCTGACATGAAACAAATGATCCAGCAGTTGGTTCCCATAAGAGCAACTAATGCAGACCAGGTGGGGCATTGCTGCCTTTGGATTTTGTAAATGGGATCACTCTGGACTTTAAAGGAGTGGGAAATGCAAGAAGGGAGAGAGGAGATTACGAATCGCTGTGATTTAGCAAATGGATTGTGAGTGGTGGGGAGTAGGGAGACATGTAGCTGTTAAAATATTGCAGGACATCTCTTTAGGATCAGGATCAGCAGACTTGGATGCTAAAGGAGTGGAGGTGGGACTGAGAGATGCTGCTGGTGCATTGGGAGAAGTGAGAGTGCTGTTGTCACCTGAGCTGGTGAAGGAGAAAAGAGCCTTCAGCATTCACTGGTGTGGTACTGGGGGGAAAGTGTCTTCACTTTATCCCTGAAGAACTTTATTACCAAAACTGTAATTTTGTGTTGAGGATGTCTTGAGTAAATAGACCCATTGTACAGAGCCACTTGAATTTAGGAGCAAATGCCTTTCAGAGCCCCTGTGTTTGTTTTGTTCTTGGTTGCCACACGTGCCCTCTCTAGCTGATTGTGCTGGGGCTGCCTGACAAGCAGCAGATTGCCCATAACAATTTTGAGATGAGAGTGGTCAGTGCACCACCTGAAAGTCAGGTTTTGTAAAACACCTTTAGATGTTCTAAAGCAGAAAATACTTCTGAAAATGCACTTACACATATATGGGTTGGAAAATACAATTGGCTTTTCCTGCTCTTAACCTTGCCTCCTTTTGCCTCTCTCTTTAGCCTTTTAAACTTTTTAGTAATTTCTTTTTGCTTTCTGCTTCTTTCTTGACCATTCTTACCTCCATGCTCTCATTTAACAGCTGCCAAGAAAAATAGCCCTTCAGGTTGTTTTCTATATTCAGGGATAAAATGCTTCAGAGTCTGAGATTAGAATTGTACCTATTCCCAGGCAATTTTATTTTGTTATAAGCGTCCTCCTTTGATGTTCTTGTGGTGACATGGAGCTTGGGTGACTACGTACTGACAGTGACACAAACTGTATTCAACTGGAACCTTCAGATCCACCTCCTCTGTGATGCACAGGTTTCTTTTTCAGTCCTCCCTTGGTGTAAACAAGCTTTTGATTGTAGGAAGAGTGGACAAACTGTGGTTTAGAGGGAACGAAAATAAACAGTTTATACTAGCAAAGAATTCATTTTAGACATGAAACTTCTGTATGTGAGACTTTATCCTGAGAGTGGACAAACTGTGGCTTAGAGGGAACGAAAAGAAACAGTTTATACTTGTTAGCAAAGAATTCATTTTAGACATGAAACTTCTGTATGTGAGACTTTATCCTTGAATACAGAATTTCTTCTACAACTTGGTGATCAACTTGAGACAGATTTGCAGATCTTAATTTATCACTTTTTCAAATTTATTTGCATGTGCTTAATTTCAGCATATTTTTAGGTCCAGCTGTATTCAGCTAGGCCTAAATAAATTTGATTTTTAGGAGCAATATTGCATCCTATGTTTTTATGGACCAGTAACAATCTTTATTGATATTTTGAACTGAAATTCACCTTGAAAGCTACTATTTTGTAATTTCAATGCCAGCCCATATATATAAAAGCAAGAACCTTACATAAAAATTGTTTAGTAAGATTTGAAGGGGAAGTGTGATGTGATGGATATTTTGTTTTATGAGTATGGACCCCAATGTTTTGTTTTATGAGCACTGAGCCTAAACCCGCTATGGTTCCCAGAAGTCAACATGATGGATGGAAGGAATGGATGTTAAAAGTCTATTTCTGGCTTTTTTTTTCCCCTCAGGTTCTGCTGCTTGCATGTGCAGAAGATTTAGAATGTGTCCCTGGATTCCAGCAGAAGGTTTTTTATATAGAAAAGCCATTTCAATTCACAGAGGACCAGCTGGTTCTGAACCGTATGTTGTTTTCATATATTACTATTGTGCAAAAATCAGAATTGTTTATGTATTCATTTCATTCCTGCCATTTATCAGAAAACTTTTTTTGTTTTGTACCTAAGATTTTGGATATTGCCATGATTCAGTCTGAGTTCCCCTGTATTAACCCTATGTCTCTACAGACATTGTTTCATGTATTAGAAATGGCAAAATACAATATATAATCTGAATGTGAATATTGTGAAAACCTAGAATCAGCCACTTCTTAAAAATTAAATTTACTCTGAAATTTTTTATAATCTTACCTATGAGTTTGGAAATCAGGACTTGCTCACCAACATCTCTATAAGTTATCTCTGCAACTCAGATTTAGAAGTTAGTATTTTGAAAGCATTCATAGCTGATACAAGTCCAAGTCTTTACATGAAATTCAGAGGCTGGAAGAAGTTTGGGATCATCAGTGATAGCAAAGTGTCACACAACTGGAATATTCAGTATATTTCCGTTGGGCAGGTGTCACATTATAAAACCCAATCTGGCACTGTACACCCAAAGCATTAAACTGAAGGAGATTTAAAAGTTTTTCAGTTCTGATGTTAGTTCATTCCAATACTTCAGGGTTACAAATTGCTCATTCCATTCTGGGACTTTGGGATTTCAGCCCTGTCACACAAAATGGTGCCTTATCCAGTGGCCGATGTCTTTAAAGACTTAAAAAAGGATTTAAGTGCTGCCATTTTCATAACTTCCAAACACAGCTGCATTTTTACTTGTGATATTTTATTATTGATGATTTCTTTGTTGTGCTTGGCTGCTGGTGCTGAACAAGGAATTCTTCTGGGTGTCCAGCACTGGGCAGTAGTGCTTGGCTCCCGTGTGCAATATCTGGATCCTACAATGGGATAAATCCCATAGCTTGGTGGAACCAAGAAATGCAAACCAATATTGCTCACCAAATGCACACATTTCCCAACTCAGTTCCATCCACATATCACTGCTACACACTGATGTATTTTCACTTCAGATGAAGGTGTAATCTGTGCGTGTTCACTTTAAAATAGCATTAACTTCTCAAAATGAAATGTCAGAATTAGTCTATTGAAATAACTCTCTTAAACTTAAGTCATTCAGCCTCGAAATGTCAGAATTAGTTGCCAAAGTCTATTGAAATAACTCTCTTAAACTTAAGTCATTCAGCCTTTGGAGGCACTAAAATAAACCTCCAGGATAACATTTTTAGTCTCAGAATTTTGATATGTTGCTTAGTCTGAGCTGCTTTTTCACAGGAACTTTAGATCACGAGTAGTAATACTAGTCAGAGATGTGAGATTGTTCAGCTTAGAAAAGAGGTTTCAAACTTCTTATTTCTTTGGGGAATTTCATTTTCTCTGGAATTCTTATTTTGGAGTTGTCAAACACATTATTCCTACATGACTAGAAGTTGAAATTCTTAGAATAAGAATTAGATTTAATAAGCAAGCTGATTTGAAGACCTATTAAAAGAAGCAATATGGATAAACTAGTGCTAAATGAAATACAAACAACTTTTGTTGAATGTTTTTTCTGCTTCAGAACTTTGAGGCTGTAATGGGTCTGGCCAGATCTCCTGCTGATTTGGAGAGGATCACCCCAAGGATAGTTGGTTCAACCAAACTGGCTGGACTGCTCTGTGGTGACCCAGCCATTTGCGGTGTGTAAAATGAGCAGAATAATTAAGATGCCATCATTAGTGAGAGGAGGAGGGAAGAGCAGGAAGAAACTCAGAAATGCCTGGGAACAATCTCTGGAATTAAATTATTTTAATAAGCAGACAGTAAATTGGCCTAATGTGCAGTGTTGGATAGAGGCAAACTGTCGATGCGTGATCCTGGTTAATTCAATCACCCACAAACAGGGCGTCCTTCATGCAGCACCATTCAACCTCAGCACAGTTCCTTCATTTTAGCTGTCAACAGAACTGATAATTTTAATTGTCTGTTTGAATACACTTTGCATGCTCTTGCATCTTTTTATGCCCATTACCAAGAGCAGTGTAATTTAGCAGTTGCATTGCAATGTGAGGCTTACCAGGGCTGTGTAAATTAATAGAGCAAATATGTAAACCAGGCCTATAGCAGGGATTGTTTTTGTAGCCCTCAATAAGCCAAGGAGCTCCTTAATTCTTTTCTGAAGTGCAATAATGCAGTCTTTTTCTTTTTTTCTTTTTCAATTTAAACAAGAACCTAGTGTACGTTTCATTGCTAGCATCTCCCTTGTAATTAAATACAGGTTGTAGCTGGTTCTTCTGTATTTATTACTTCTACCTGTGGCAGTGTTAATTATACTTTACATTTACTGATGGGAAGAATGAAGAGTAGACCATACTGAGGGTACAGAATTTTATCTAATTTCGTGTTGTGGTTTGTAGCAATTTTTATTAAAGCCTACTAGTAAGCTGGCCATAACAAGTCCAGCTGTGTGTGCATATTCTCCTTCCTATTAGTTTCACTGGTATACAGTTACTATTAGTTTTTCTGTCATTGTGCTGAGGCTGAACTGGCTTTTAAATTCTTATTTATTTATTTGCTCTTGCATCTCATTTAGTAGTAACCTCCAGACTTTGACCATTTCTTTGTCCCTGTTTGGTCATTAATTTTTTTCCCCTCAGACCCCTTCAGATCTCCTTATAACTTGGGTTTTCTATAAACACAAAAAAAAATAAGGCATTGCTCTTTTACTTTTGGTCTGCCTAATTTTTTCCTCTGTGTGCAGAACCAGATGTTCCCTTGAGGCTGTAGGAAAAGACCCTTGGAGTCACTTTCTGGAAATAGTAATTATATCCACATACTTATTCTAACAAACAATTGTGTCACTGTTTTTTCCTTCCTTATAGCTTTTTTTTTTTTTTTTTTTTTTTTTTTTTTTTACTTTACATCTAGGACCATCTTTGCAATCCAATAGTGAAGGTCATCAAGATTTCCACATTCTTGATGAAGTGCTAATTGACAGCATTTAATTATAGGTTTTACACCTGTCAGAAGCACTTGTGGCCGCGAAATGCCTGTCCCTGCCAAGGCTGGCAGGTCACTGGCAGTGACAGGGCTCTGTCACACTGGGCTGAGGGAAAGTTCCTAATCAGACTCAACAAACGTGGGAATGTAATTGTGTTACATTAATCACGTTTATACTTAACACACATCGGGCTTGGCTTTTGGGGGTATTTTTAATTGACAATGAATCAAATAGTGCACTTGAATAATGGAGGCAATTAACATAAAGCACGAGGTGGTGCATTGTGCATGCTAAACTGGGGAAGGCATTTCCAGTGCTTTAAATGTCAAAACAAAGGAAGTTTTGACCCTTACTTGAAAAGCTCTAATTTGGATGTTAATTAATGGCTGACCTCTTGTGTCTCTTACGTGATAGATTGCCTGTTCAGAGCCAGGGCTGCTTCGAGATCAAGGTTTTGTCTGTCTGCATTTGGGTACTTTTTGTTCTGTGCATTTTAACAAAGAGCTTTTCTATTCAACAATATCAAAATCATTGCTTACTCATATGATGTGAAATATCTTAGTGTACTTATTAATGCTTAAAAGCAGGTTTTCAATTGTCTGGCAAAGCTGTGACCTCCAACAAGATATACTTTGTTCAAAGCAAACAAAGCCTGTGGAATGATCAGGGAAGACCATTCCTCCTCCTACAGCCTTGTGTGCACATGGATTATGGCCCTGGTCGTGCTCACATCCAAATATTTCCTGTTGATTCTGAGCTGATGCCATATGAGAGATGTGATTTATCACATCAACCCTTCCCACTGATTCCATGCCAGTTGCCTGCACAGATGGCCTCTTCCTGTGCCTGTTCCATGCTACCAAAAGCGGAGCTGTTCTTCTCCTGTTCCTTCTGATCCTGGAGTTATCACACCCACTTTGCTCATCTCCCCTTCTTCCCTCTCCCCACAACCTGCACAGAGCCAGTGTGGCAGCCCTGTTGTCTGCCAAAACTCTTCAGGGTTCTGACACGGGGTTTTGGATGTGACTGTTAACTCTTCATGCTGAATAGTGCAGGGTTTGGGTAATTGGGATTGCACATGGTAGCTGTAACTTGCAAAAGAACCTGTTCAAGCAAGGTAAGATTTTACGCTTAGCAATTTCTTGCAGGGAAAACTGTCTGGGCTTCTGGGTAATAGTGAGATAAACGTGGATTTTCTACCTATTCAGTGTGTCCTTGCTGAAACAGTATTGCGGCTTCTCAAAATGAAGAAGTTTTTAATGCATTTTGAGTTTTACAAACCTCTTAAATTTTCTTTCAATTCACATAAATCGCTCTCTGTGTTAAGAAAGTGCTTCAGAAGATGTTAAAAAACGACTTGGTTCCCATACCTTGGCATGAGGGAGCAGGTTCAATGGAAAGGCATCTCAACTTTCCTACCCAGATAGGGGAGTGCTTGTTGTATCCTAAAATATATGTCTTAATGGGCTCATATGCATGGATAGAATTTGAATACTAGAGATTCAATCTGACACTTGGGTACATGTTTAAGATAAGGTGCCTGGAACTCTTATCCATGTGGACAGAAATATTGATCAGGATTTAAAGCAACACACCTTAAGCACACTATTCCTATTTAAATGGTCATAGGAAGCCAAACTCATGTAAGTAAAGTTCCAGGAAATATCTGGGGCTCTGTGCAAAATGGTTGCAGTGTTGTGGAAGTTTTAAAGTGGTTGGGAACTTCACTACATGCTTGTGGAAGCAGGGTAAGGAAGATCCTTTTGCACCTAAATACCTGATGCATTGCCTTTGAATTGAAGTTTGATGCTGAGCTCCTACATGGAGGGAGAACGTTCTCTGGGAGTACATATTATAACTAAATAATAGAAAATATCTCAGCTGTGCCTCTGAATAGATACATGCAGATTGGTGTTGCAGCACAACAATATCATATCATCTGTTGAACTGCTTTCACACATGATTTAAGCAGAACAAAATGGGAGAGAATAGCTGTTGAGTGCCAGGTGGTCAGACGATTCCCTCCC